CAAGTCTTTTGTGACTCATAGCGACCCTATGTACAACAGCCCTAAACCCTGCTCTATCCTGTGCCAATCGCATTGCCTCTGACACACCCATCCCAATTGCCCCAGTCACTGAATCAATCCATTTCATAGAGGGGCTTCCCCTCTTGCGCCGTCCCTCCACCCTCCCAAGCATGATATCCCTCTCCAAGGATATCTCCTTGCAACATGCCCAAAGTATGTCAGACGAAGCCCCAGAATCCTTGCCTCCAAGGAGTAGCTTGGTTTTGCCCTCTCCAGGATAAATCTGTTTGTTTTCTTGGCAGTCCAGGGTACATTCAATACTATTCTCCAGCAACACAGCTCAAAGGTGTAATGGAGCAAGTCCCCAGAAAAGACTACTGAGCCAATTAGCCGAATTGATAAAGTTTATTTCGAGTTCAAACCCGGGCTCCCACGTGCTGACACAGCAGCATCCACCTGAGAGCCCTGAGACCAAGCGAGCCCTCCCTTTTATACTTCCTTGCTTTTTTTGTCTAGCTACACAGTTTATGATTGGTTACTTATAGCAGTTCTAGTACTAGTTTGCTCTTTATTGGTTAGCCATAGCTGAGGGAGGCAGTTTGGAGACTTGTTTGAGCCTAATTGGTGGGGAAGCAGCTTGGAGACCTATTTGAGTCTGACTGGTTACTTCAGACACAGGGCTACTGAAAAAAAAATCCCTTATGTCCTTGAAGAAGAGTTCCACTTTATGGAAGTTGGCCAACAGAGTGTGGTTTATCACAGGTGGGGGACGTTGCTCACTGGAAACTACACAAGCGAGTGGGATGGTGGTAGCTGCACTTTGTCAGAAAGTGAGTTTTTGATATTTGATTCTTACATTCCCCACTGGTTTTTCTTAATAAATCAAATCATTGATTCATCAGTTTCAGGGAGATGCTGATAATGGATTTAAGCTATAAGGCTTTTAAGACTTTGCACACGAGCTTGGATGAGGTTAACTAAGTACCTAAAAATGCAGGGATCAAAAGTTAGAATGAGGATTAGCAACAGTAACGGTCTAGCAATTGAAGTGAGAAGGGTAGTGAGCCATGGGGACCAGTTGAATAAGGTAGGGAACCAATTGCCTTGTTGCTGGTTTGTTTGGTTTTTTAAAAAAATTTTTTAGCCTCTGTTAGAGCTTACTAAGGCTTTTTCTGATTACTCCAGAACGGTTAACATAAAAACAACACGGTGGGTTTTTTTTGAGTGCAGCACATAGACCTCCTTGCTTTAAAATTTAGGCCTTGTTTGTGGTAACAATCACATTTTCTCTTTTCATTTGAGATGTTGATTATCAGGTCAAATATTAACTTTTACAGACCTCAGTACAATACAAGAATGTTTTTCAGAATACCTTATTCTGTGCTCTAAGAAACAGACTTTCGATAGATTGTTTATTGCTAAGCAGATGTTTTAGCCAAGATGGAGTTAGTCTTGCTGGTTTTACAGTACAGGGCTTATTTTGCTTTACAAGTTAGTCAGGCTCCTGACAGTTCCCTTTTCTAAAATATTAAAATATAGGATGTTGCCTGTCTTCGGTGGATAAGAGAACTCAAGCTCAAGTTGCCCATCATGGTGATAATAGCAATTTATGCTACTCCCTGTCTTAGGATCATGAGTGAGTCTCTTTCCTTATCCGTCATTGGCTACACATCCTGCATTTGCTTGGGGAGGGCTTTAAGTTGAGTTCCAAGTACTTTACCCAGCAATTTTTTTATATTGCTTGGCTAATATATGACCAACACCAGGGAGGATTCAAACTATACTTATTACAACAATACAAAGAGCAACAATCATAAAAAGAAGATTTTTAACTGAAGTTACTAAGGAAACCAGTTTTTTTTTAGATTTTTAAATATTTGACTAGCTTGTTCCGCTGGAGAAATATTTATATATGGGGTATTCTGCATTTTTATAATTTATTGGTGCAAATTATACAAATCAAGAGAATTATTGTTTGACATCTAAATCCCTTTGAATGAGATATTATTTTATCTAATCATTATCTGAGCTATTATATTTTCATTTTGTAGCACAAGTAGAATTATAGACCACATATGGCATGTTAACTTTTCTTTTACTCTAATTTGTTGTACCATATTTCCTAATACATTTACCGTATCATACAAAGCATTTCACTTTTGCTTCATAACTTCATTTACATTTTTTGCTTTACCTAATTTTTGTTGTATTATGCATTAACCCATTTACAAACTTAGCTGTTGGAACTTTTGAGTTAAAGCTATAGCAGAAGTAGAGACAGCAGCAATCACAGAGATAAAAGAAACAATTCCTACAATAACAAGACTTATAGCTTGTTTTGGCTCTTAATGACAACTTATACAATTTTTTAAAATTTGCAAGCTCTTATCATTATACCAAATATCATTTAACACTACCCGTGTCATAACAAAAGGAGGATTCTTTAGAATAACAACTGATTCATCTTTGGCAATAGAGCTGACACAGTTAGAGATTTTACAATGAGAACAATTTAGATTATATTTTGGATAATGACCAGTGATCACATTATTCCCAATTAATAAGTAAGACATGACTTTGGCATTTGTGACATTATTTCCTTTACATTTATTTTTTGGTATACAGGAAATATTTATCGATCCCATACTAGCAACTAATTTTTATAATCTAGTTTGATAATTACGGTGATTAACAGTCCAAATTTTTTACTGATCTTTTAGCTTTGACTTTATTTCATGGAGCCCAGTTGTACAAGTTCAAATCTGCAGTAACATTTTTCTCCAGCTGAGAGGGTGAAGTAAGGGTGGACCTCGAATATATGTCCTTTTAAGATTCAGCTTGAATTCTTATTATCAGAGTCAGCAATATCACCATCCTTATTTCTATTAGGCGAGACATCTTCTGCAAACTGTACCAGCTTTACAGGAAGGCACTTTGCACTTTCAGCGTTCTGTGGAAAAACACAAACATAGCCTTGACCCCATAATAATCTAGGGTTGGGTCTTTTTCATTATTTTGTTAATGCATTCTTCTATCTAATTTTAGCATACTTTCCTTGTATGTTTTCCCATTGTCTGTATGTGGCAGAACTAAGAAATTTAAAATAAATTGTATAATTATTTGGACTTAGGGGATATAGTTCCCCCCCTTCTTTATTTGCAAAATATAATTATTTTTTTTATAATGATGAGTAATTTGACCAGGCTAATTGGCTAATGCAATTATCCATTCTGAACAATATTGATATAGCAAATTAATTTGTAAAGCATTATAAGGGACAATGATTTCATAAGGTTTTATATTAAAACATTGCAATGACTCCTACCTTGACTTACCAGTTGAGACACAGCCTGTGGACAAATCCACAAAACCTTTTTAGGTGAACGGGATAAATGAATTTATTTAAAAGAGCATTCTGTGGAGTTCTTTTAGCATCTAAAGTACACAGCAATAACTTTTTACTATGATCTATACAAGACAGAACAGGAAGAGATAAAATCCTGAACTTCCCTGAAGAGACCATAGCTGACATCCAAGCAGATATATGCACACCCATGTTTATTGCAGCTTTGTTCACAATAGCAAGGAGTTGGAAACAACCTAAGTGCCCATCAACAAACGAATGGCTAGAGAAGCTGTGGTATATCGCTGCATTAAAAAACAAGGAACTCATGCAATATTATTCAAAATGGTTGACTCTGGAGAACATTATGCTGAGTGAAATATCCCAGGCACAAAAGGACAAATATTACATGATGCCACTGTTGTAGAATGGGACTGTCCTTGGGGTTGGGGAGAGACTGAGTAAGATGGGTTCAATAATGTATACTGCACTGAAACAGAGGAGGGAGAAAACTGTTTAAAAGAGATATATAACTAGGTATTTCTGTCATCACAGGAGACTAGAGCGAGGGCTACATGGTGGAGGGGACCTGGGGGAGGGTTTGTAAAACAATGAAAGAATCTTTTCTTTTACTTTTCCGTAATTTTTGGACTCATGTACTTATAACTTGTTAGTCAAATTTGTGTCTTCTAGGTTGCAACACCCCCATGATACATCTTCAAGGATATGAACATGTACGGCCAAGCACAATCAATAAGAGTGCATCTAAATTCCAAAATCAATCTCCATAATAGTCTATGTGTTTCCTACTGCCAAAGGGGCCCTTTAGAGTAGTGAGAGAAGATCTTCACCCTGAAACCCACAGCGTCCCTTTTCAGCAGGAAGTAGCTAAGAGAATACGCCATCCCCTTTTCCTTATGGCTCAGGGTGAAGTCTCTCTCAGGGAGGAGTGATAGGGAATGGCAAAGGACACACTGACAAAGAAGATTAATCAGAACTGGCTTTGACAAGCACTGTGGCATTTGGACAAGAACAAACTGGGAGGAGGGTAGAGAGAATAGTGCAACAATGAATGAATGGAAACCCAAAATCTCTGTAAATGTTTATGAAAATTAATAAGATATAGAAAAAAGAAAAAAAAAATTCCTGAACTTCTTTTAAAGCCTGATGAGCCTCCATAGTTAATTCTTCCCTGGAATTAGGATTATTATTTCCAATTAAAATATTAAACAATGGTTAATGGTTCTGCACAGTTAGTTCCAAACATGGTTTAATTTAATTAATATTTTTAGTTACTTTTGAAAATTATTTAGTGTTCCTAGATTACTAACACGAATTTGAATTTTTTTTTGTTTAAACACAGTTTTTCTTCATTCTTGTGTAAATACATACACTAAAATTTACTTTCTTCTAAGCCTTTTACAACTTACTACACACCTTTAATTTATAATTTAGCTTTTACTAACTTTCATATTCTGGCACAACCAGACATTCAATTTCAAAGCAAAACTATTTTCATTTGAACTTTTAAACAAAAAATACACAAGACTTACTACCAGTTATTCTGCTTTTTCTCTTGAACTTCATACTATGACAAAACTTTTAATTCCATCCTTAAAATGATAGTTTATTTAGTAGTTTAGACATACTAAATCATTTTATGTGTGTTTACCACCCCAAAATGCCACAGTTTAATAACTGCAATTTTTAAATATTGCATGGGAAGAATTACCAATAGTATTCATATTTTCATCAGACTATTTTTTGAAATCTAAAAAATAGCATACAGTTCACCTTTTTGTACTGATTTACAAGGAGATGATCCAACATAGAATTTGTTACTACTTTAATATTTCACTTTTTCATAATTGGAAATATCTGTAAAAACATTAGGACCTTTAAGAGGAACAGAGGGTATGATACATATAGGTAAAAATAAAGAGATGTGTTTCTAAAGAGATGAAGAGAGTCTATTAGAAGGAAAGTGATTATCAAACTATGCAGCTTTTAAAATGCATGGATATAGCTCTTCTTGTTGACATGATTGCTCCAGTCTTAAAAAAAAAAAATTTAAAAAAAAGCATGGATATGTGAAGGTGATAGAGGATGCCAAGAGCTGATTTTCCAAAGGTTTTTTTGAGACAAAACATCTTAGGTGACGCCTTTTGGACGTTTGAGAAACCTGCCCCCAGGGTTCTCCATGAGTAAAGAAAGGAAACAGAGTTTGGAGACTAAGCAACCAGCTTGTAGGCTGGAGAAATCTAATATCAGTTCTCTAACTATATAACTACAGTTTTACAACTGATATAGAGAATTTTGAACCAGTAATTTTTTCTTCTTTTTGTGCTGACATTTTTAACTGGCCTTAAGTAGGTGGATTTGTTTCAGGAGTTCAAATATTTTCTTAATTTTCTGTGATGATGTAAACAAGGCCCTTTCCCATTTTAGTACATGACTCTCCAGCACAGGAGGGGAAGGCCCTCTATGAGGTGGATGATATAGTGACTGGGGCAATAAGGATGGGTGTATTGGAGACGGTGCCATTGGCAGAGGACAGAGCAGAGTTTAGGGCTGTTGTACATAGGGTTGCTACGAGTTGCAAGAGACTCGACTGCACATAACAATAACAACAACAACAACATGACAGGACTCTAGCACCATCTTAAAAAATCACCAGGAGTGGAGCGAATCCTTTTAGATCAGGGCTCCTGCACCAGGAAGCTTTTTGACATTAATGCAGGACAAGATACATGGAAATCTCTAAGGAATGCTATTTCTACAGATGTTAAATGACTCTCTTCCAGCTACTTTGGCCAAGTGGTTATCTTATAAATTTCTTGGCACAGACTGGTGAGTTTATTTAGGGCTTTATTTATTTGTTAAAACTTACCAGTTGGATAGTAGCAATGCCTGGGGACTTCCCCCCCCCCCCCCCCCCCATTCATTGCCTTCAATGCAACTTGAACTTTCTTCTTTAGTGTCATTGGTTCTTCATTAGATGCTACCTTCTGGGTTCCATGTTAGCTAATTTTTTTTAGACACTACCTCTTTGTATTCCCTTCATATTTTTTTGATGCTTTCTGGATTATTCTAGATTTTGCCTATAGCATTCTTCAGTATTTCAACTTGAGGTTTGTTTTCAGTGTTTTTAGCTTAAGAAATGCTAAGTGAGTTCTTGTCTTTGTAAGATTTCTAATTCCAGCTCTTCTATGCTTTGTGCTCTTTATAATAATAATAGCCTTGTATTTTTTAATTTTTTATAATTATTAATTTTGATGAAATTTACAGAGACTTTGGATTTCCATTCATACATTGTTGTACTTTTTTTTCTCCCCTGTATTTGTGGTAACCTTTGCTTTTTTTAGGGATGATATCCTTGATGTCACCCCATAATTAACCTGGTCTTCAATTGTTAGTGTTCAATGCTTCAAACCTATTCTTGAGATAGTTTTTAAATCAGGTAGGACAGACTCAAAGTCATATTTTGGTTCTTGTGGACTTATTATATTTTTTCTGGCTTCAATTGGAACTTGCATGTGAGTAATTGATGGTCTGTTCCATAATCATTACATGGCCTGGTATTGACTGCTGATAATGAGATTTTCCAACAATTCTTTATGATTCCTATGCAGCTCATCAGATAAGGTCCGTGTCTATATTATTTTTACAGCGTATAAACTACTGACTGTAGAAGAAGATTTAATCACTTGATCTCTAGCTTAATTTGTCACCAAGTCTATAATTTCCCACTACTAGTCATTTGTTTCCAACTGTTGCATTCCAATAACCAATTATTATTATTATTAATTTATTTATTTTGAACTATATTTTTGAAATAGTAAAAATACAGCAAATAAAATTCTGCATTGTTTTCAGTTTTACTTACCTGTGTTTTCTGTATTTTGTATTTAGGCTAACTTCTTACTGGCAGGAATTAATTTCTTTTTGCTGTTGATACAATTGTGATTTATTTTTTTACTTTAAGAACTGAGCTGTATTTGTTCTTTTATCTGTTTATAAATTTTTAGGTTCCTTATCTATGCAGCTGTGAAAGACTGGCTTATTTGCTCAGTTTCAGCTCTGGACTACTGAAAGTAAACAAGCTAGAGCCAGCCTCATAACTGCTAAACAGAGTTTATTTTACTAATTTTTAAGGATTTTATTTTTTTTAAATCTTTTAGCAGCAGTTTCCAAATTTATTTGCTTTTGTTTTATTACTTCTGATTTACAAATTTTTATGACATCCAGCCAAGTTTTTTAGTTTAGCTTTTGCAGTACTCACTGTTCTGAACTTGCAACAATGTTTCTGTACATATTGGAAACACTGCAAAGAAGATCTTTCTCAGCAAAGTGCTAAATTTGTAAAAGGGTTTTTTTAACAAAACATGATTTTTATTCTTTTTCTATTTTGTCCTCTCTTAGAAGCAGTTTATGACAATTTTTAAGCTTTAGTAATATTAATACATAGAACCCATTGTTTAACATTTCAAGTCCTTCCATGTTGATGGGCTTTCTGCAACCCATATCCAATTTAAGATTTAATTGTACTTTTTTTTCTGACAGTGGATCTAATAACATTCCTTATCAACCTTTTAAATAACTGTTCAATAATTTTTATGTTAAATGTTAAACCAATAAAATCTAATAATCCCTTAATAATATATAATGCTTATGCAGTGACAAGTTATTCATTATAATTTTTGAACGTTCCCTCTGAAGGTTATTGGCCAATGTTGCAACAACAAACTTAGACAAAAAACAAAACAATTAGTACAAACATTTAGAGACCTCTGTTTGACTTTTAACACTTGTTTTTATTTTTAACTTTTCATCTACCTCAACACCGTAACCGGCTGCCCTGGAAGAAAAGTCTGAAAAGTTGTTAATGAAACACTCTAAAGGGGGACAGTCTGTTCCTGACTGTCCCACTCCCATTTTCGCTTGCACTTGTTTCACTAGCGCAGTCTGTTCCAGGAGTGAATAAAGAAAGAAAAGAGCAACATAAATGCACAAAAACAGAAAGAGACACTGTTGACAGAGAGACCACTGACAAACCTGGGTCCAAAGGGTGGGCCTCTCCCAACCAGCAGACAAAGGAACACTGTTGACGACAAAGACTACTGAAAAACCTGTGTCTGGACTACTGACAAACCTGGGTTTGAAGGGTGGGCCTCTCCAACCCCATGAATGTCCGAGGCATCGGCCTCTGTCCCCCGGGCTTGCGGATCAAACCCAGGCTCCGCGTGCTGTCACTGAGGCATCCACTCGAGAGCCCCGAGCTGGCGCAAGCTAGTTCCAGGTGAGCCCCCACTTCCTCAGACAACTGGACCTTGGCAGTCGTCACTACCACAGTCTTGGACTGGAAGTTATGCAGTGTCCTGCCTTCCAATTGTCCAAACCCAAACTGGGAGGTGCACCAGATGGACAGAATACAGATTAACCGGTTATCAGGCCTGACTTACCAGGTAAGAAGAATCCTATAGCGACATCACAGTTGCTCCACTGGCCGGCGATCAGGGTTTAGATTGAATTTAGGGAGATCTCGCTGGGGCCTCCAAATGTAACGGAGCGAGTCCCCAGAAAAGACCACCGAGCCAATTAGCAGAATTGATAAAGTTTATTTCTAATTCGAACCCGGGCTCCCGTGTGCTGACAAAACAGCATCCACCCGAGAGCCCCGAGACCAAGCGAGCCCTCCCTTTTATACTTTCGTGCTTTTTTGGTCTAGCTACACAGTTTATGATTGGTTACTTATAGCAGTTCTAGTAGTACTAGTTTGCTCTTTATTGGTTAGCCATAGCTCAGGGAGGCAGTTTGGAGACTTGTTTGAGCCTAATTGGTGGGGAAGCAGCTTGGAGACCTATTTGAGTCTGACTGGTTACTTCAGACACAGGGCTGCTGAAAAAATCCCTTATGTCCTTGAAGAAGAGTTCCACTTTATGGAAGTTGGCCAACAGAGTGTGGTTTATCACAGGTGGGGGACGTTGCTTGCTGGAAACTACACAAACGAGTGGGATGGTGGTAGCTGCACTTTGTCAGAAACTGAGTTTTTGATATTTGATTCTTACAAAAGGCATAAATTCTCCTTCTGTCCTCAATAGTCATTGTCCAACTCTCTGATGCATAACAAGTGATTGCAAAGACCATGGCCTGTGTCAGGCAAACCTTAGTCTCCAGAGAGACACCGTTGCTCTTGAGTACTTTAGAGAGATCCCTAAGAGCAGACTTTCCCATCGCGATACGTATTTTGATTTCCTGGCTGCTGGTGCCAAGAGTGCTGACCGTGGAGTGGAGCAAACTGAAGCTGTGAACAATCTCAATCTCTTCGCTATCCATCCTGATGCTACCGATTGGTCCAGTGGTGAGAATCTTTGTCTTC